ACGGCAGGAACGATTTCAATGATATTTTTGTGTATGTTAGCAGCAATAAATTAATATGAAGCAGTCGGAGACATACACAGTTATGTACATAGATACATCTCGCGGCAAGGATGAAACGTCTATGTCTCGGACTGCATAATACTATATTCCTTCATCAACTTGTTTTCCTATTTTTAGTTAGCTTTTTAAGTAATCTATTTGCTTCCGAAAGAGATACTTTATAGATATAGAAATTAAAAAAGTATCCATAAGAAGGCAATATAGAAACGCAATAAGACGGCCTATTTGAATTTTGAACACATAAAAGTAGTTAGTAAACAGATCGCCGGTACATAAAGACTGACTGCGCATTATTCATAATGAAGTCAGAGACGCTCCTGCTCTGTTCATTAGAGGCCTCGTTAAGTACCTGCGAGCTGCCCCCCTCGGATCGCTTCCGGTCAGCACTCGACGCGTTTTAGGCAGTTCCTGCACTACGCAACATCCTGTTGCAATAATACGTATTACGCGTTTAGATCGGTATTCGAAACGTAATTCACGCTTATAGAGTTTCTTCAATTTCTAAACAATATAAGTGCCCTAAAACATTTGCTTTTGTTAAATTACATACTATGTATAAGATAATTTGTTTAGCTGCATTTATTTATTGGTTAAAGTATAGGTACTGTTAGAAGTTTGTCACTAATTAGGTTATTCGTATAACGCAATTAAGTCTTCAGTAGAACATAAAATTGTAATTCCAATACCTTTTATATAACATGGTGACTAATACACGTCTAAATCGTATATACGAAACGCTCTATAGAATACAAACAATACTTGAGTAGTGTGACAAAGATTTGTCTGTCATCCAACGAATGAGGATTAATCCTGTTCCCATGACTGGTGCAAGAGTAATAGTGAAACAAGAAGGTCCGCTTCGAAGGAATGTATCGTAAATCATCGCGAGTAGCCACTAAAAGAGCCCGACACGTTGCTTAAACTACCCACCATTCGTTGTTATCAATAGAATGTTCACAATAAAAGGTAATATACATACTATACGTAAGATATTGAATATGTATACCTACGCCGAATATCTAGCTATGTGACAATCTTTGACTCAGAATTTAGTTCATAATTCAAATTATTTATATTCATTTTGTTTTATTTCCAATTTATTTCTAAATATTTTGGTGCTCAATGAAAAATAAATCATTGCTAAAAACAACATCTATAGGTACATATAATAAAACAGTAACTTAGCGATATCTGTACATGAAATATTTTTTAAAAACAATGACTAACATATTGTGTACAATAACCCCAAAACAATAGTTATTCAAATTTTTATGTTTATCTGTATGTCTATCCGTTTATCTGTTTGTCTGCTTGGATGCGCGCGTTTCACGCATAAAGTACTGAACTCATTTAAAGTTTTAACTAAATTTTGTGTTGTGATAACTTATTTATTAGTCGAGTCAGTATTTAGGATAGAAATTTTTTACCACGGGAAATTATCTCATTCCCATAAGAAAATAAGTTATAATACAGCTCACAACAACTCATCATACCTATGTATGTACAATGTACATATATATGTATAACATATAGTCTATCTGTTCCATGCTAACCGTTGAAACGTACCTAGTGACGAACCCGAGCGAAACGAGGTTGAGCCGATAGTATATAATTATAACAACATCTTTCACATAGAACAATATGCTTGACATGTGTATTGGCTAATTACATCGACACGTCAAAAGCACCGCCCGCTGAAAGGCCTTTTGTCCGCAGCGCAACTCGCTCCCCGCGCGCTCGGCCTCACATATATTTGTATATATTTGCTCTTAATTAACTTACACATAGATATACAGTACGTAGATGAATTATTATTGGGTACAATGAGTACATTATCCGCACTGTTATATAGTAATAAGTAAAGTAAATCATTATTCAGAAACTCGACCGCTTCAAAACAGTATTGCTATAGGTGTTTTACATGTAGGATATTGCGCATAATAAATAGGTGAAAACGGCACGATCGTGTCCAACTACAATGGTTCTTTTGACGAAAACAATGAACAACAATACCCGCTAATTTACAGTACAACTAATTTACACAAAATTTAAAAACAAAAAACCGACACTCACCAACCGGTGTCCTCAAGAGGTCGCATATATTTAGTGATATTTTAACAAAAACAGCACCTAAAATATGTATCGGGTGACAGTGAACTTGTCGCAGTGTTTGACGCCGAGGCGGAGGCGCCGGTCTCGTGGGCGGTGCACTTGTTCTTGCGCAACTATTCGAAAACTTTAGGTCTGCGTGCGCGCATGTGACAGCGCTTCGGGCTCGCATCACCACATTAGCATTCTACCGTTAAGTCTACTTGCCAAGGCAAACTAATGATGCCACACATACAAAACAATACTATAGCAGAACTTCTATTATTTGTATTTTTTTTATTTATCATGACTTATGGCCAGTTATTATTTGATATTGTCCCGTATATCAATTTACATATCATGTCGTAACTTTTTATTTTCGATAAAGTTGCAATGTCAAGTTTTGATAACCCAAAAAATAAAAACAGCTCAGAGCAGCGGCTTTTGCTCTCATTCTAATTGATAGGATTAAGCATTTCATATTTAATTAGCGATACGACCTGCTTTCGCCTAGGTGTAGGTACACTTTACAATGTACATAATATACTACATATGAATACAATACATATTACATTCATTTTTTTCATTGACCAAACGAGCGAAGCCTCTCTGTTTCAAGTCTGGCAAAATTTGCTTTCCTTTGTCAGTTTGTTGGTACTCCTCTACAGGTCGTATGTTAAAATCGATCTGGACGAAACTTGGTATACAGGTTTTTACGATTTTATAGATTTTATTTTGTCGTCGGGGATTTTTGATTAGATTGATTTTTGATTGGGGTACTTCCTTCAAAAAGGGGTAAAAACGGGGCTACTCGATATCTTCGCCTTATGGCCTTATGAGATCCGTTTCGATGGTTCTTTTTTTTATTTGAAAGGTAGTAACATTAAGTTAGTCTCATAAAAATTTGGTGAAGATCTGATGAGGATCTTCGGCGTGATGAGCAGAATAGCTGCTTAAAATGCAGTTCGTGCTCGCAAGGTCTACTGTTCGCAGAACTACTAGTATATAATATTCATTTACACATATAACAAATTATAAACAAAAAAATGTACCTATATGAAATATGTAGGTATCTACTTATAAGTAAAAATTTTCTGTCGTAAAACCTAATAGTTTAAGAACGCCAGCAATTTGAAACACGTCTGCAAAGAAAGACCGCTACTATTTCTTGGTCTTCCTAGCTGATACCTATTACAACTTTTTATGTTTACAGTAGTTGGTTAATAAATAATTGGACCCAGTCATGCAAAAAACAGCCATGTGCGTAAAAGTACCAACAGAGTTATAAGCATTTTATTATAAAAAATAATATTATTATAAAAAATAAACAATACTTATATAAATATTGTTCAATTTTAAAATAACCAGAAAAACAAAACATAACCCAAGTGCAACCATCGACAGAAAAATGCTTATAACTCTGTTGGTATTTTTACGCACATGGCTGTTTTTTGCATAACTGGGTCCAATTATGGACATAAAATCTTTCACATTTTGCAGATCCAGATACAGTTCTAACTTCAGCAATCTAATGTCTAAGATATTTGAAAATTACCTTTAGTTATTTTTACCCAAATGTTTAGCTTGTTTTTAAACCGTCGGGTTGATTTTAATAAAAAAAATTTATTCAAACGAAGTTTCTTACAAATTTATTAAATTAATTACAGTTTTTTTTTAAATAGCTTATTTATACTTTTCGCACCAATTATTTTGAAAACAAGAACAAAAACAAGAGTTATACGTTTATTTTTTACCACTGATTTAATATGTTAATCGTATAATCTATATTCTAAATCTATGCAAAGCCACCTTTACTTTTTATATGTTGCCGCAAGTGTGCAAGCAAATAATATAAGGAAATAAGCGCATCTTTTTATCTTTAAAGCGACATCTGTATTACAGTGGTCTAGAGGGGAACTCTATCATACAGTCTGTATGTAGAAAACACACTTACGTAATTATTGTGGAATATAAGGCATTTAATGTATACACGAGAAAGCTATTTACCTATACTTTTATATCAATGACGAAATACAATAATTTTTAAAAGAATTTTAATTTTAGTAACTCATCAGTTATGAAGTTTAAAGTAATTATGTAAGCAAATTGACATAATCGAAAAACTTCAGCTGGATCAATTGAAGGAATGTATCCGCCGATGTTGAAGATCAATTATGTCTTGTTGTCTTCGTTAAGCCTTAAGATGAGAGTCCGTATGAGAACTGGGATACACTAATTACTACATTAGTAAATTTTTATTTCATTATTATAAGTATTAAATAATTCTGTACTTTAAAATTCAAAGTAAGTACTAAACACACTTTCTCTTCCTTACATAAATTTATATAGTCGAATTTGCCGAGAACAATATACAAAAAATTATTAATATTTGCAATCGGCCGTTTGTAGGAATGTATTCCAGTATCTCAGAATATATTCCAGTATGTACACAGTATTGATTTAACTACTTTTGCGTATAATTAGTTAAATCAAGCAAACATCGAAGATGTGAATTAATTTTACTTCTTTCAAAACGAAAATGAGCTTAATCAAAATATTTACTACATAAAAATATATAAAATACTGCGAATTATACCTAGATACATATATTATACAGTTCATTTTAAATTATGCTGAAAATTCCATATGCACTATAATGTCTACTTGAATATTTTAATTAGGGACGAAGGTACGATGTAGAGTCGTACACGAAGAGCATAAGATTTAACTTATACTCTTCGTGTACACTCTTTTAATAAAATAATAGCTTAATAATATAATATATAATTTCTAACACTATATATTTTATTTATTTTTGTCATCACAAGAAAAATATTCAATTAACTAAATACCTGATTTATTAGATGTAGTGGTCCAGAAACACGACAAGTTGGTGGTGGCGATTCGTATCCCCAAAAACAATTCCAAGGCATTTTTATTCATTTTCAAAACAAGGAAAATTGACTCAATATCTTGGTCTCATTTTTTATCTATCATTCTTAATTTATATCAAAAAAATATTCGAGAGGTCATCATAATCTATTTAAAATGATACATTTGCCGATAATCCGCTTGTAATACAAGCAGTATTTACATTTACAGAGTAATTGCCCGCGCAGATAAATTATAATAGAGTAGTACACGAGCGCTTCGGAGCTCTGCCGCGTCACGACTGAGGTGCATTCAGCTGATCTACTCTCATAAACAATCTTAGGTAAAGGGTTAAATTTTATAATATACAGGATTAAACTGTTCAATGTCAAGATAAAATATTAATATAATTTTAACAAGTTTTTAGTTTTTTGTGTTGTTTAGTCATTAATTGAAAAAAATGAAACGAAAGTTTTCTTAATAGTTATTCAGAAAGTCCAGCCGACCAGAGATTATTTGATAGGTATCATAAGAGTATCTGACAACATAAAAAATCATCAAAAAATATTAAAATCACCGCTCAAAACTAAAATTACCGAAAGATGCTTTCTAATTACTCAACTTAAAACGGTAAAGATACATAAAAAAACAAATACTTCGATAAGTAATAAATAAATAGATATTTGTATTGTTTATTTATTTAAAACCAGTTAAATGTAATTTCTATAGTAACATACTTTGCGCGCCCTAACCCCAGTGGGAGAGCATCCTAGTGACTCACGACTCTATCCAGTCAAATATAAATGTGAAAAAAAGACATTTAATATTAACAAATTTTAAATATAATTTGTTTACATTTATAATTCATATGTTAAATCAATATTTTTCGAAATTTCTAATACATATCAAAACAAAGTGTTACAAACTTATTGACTCACCTGATGTTTAAATTGAGGAGCCGTGCTAATTACAGGCGGACGCTGACGATCCCGGGACCACGGGCAAGTCCAGGGCATCTTTCAAAAGAACTGAACTCACAGCTGACCGACCATGTCATAAGTGTCGAAACACTTGATCATGACAGTAAAAAGGTATTAGCGAGTAAACTTATGAATTATTATACTTATATTAATTAATATTATTATTTACAATATGGGTGTCGTTATAAAAAAATCGTTGCCCGGTTACGTTTGGGTGCGTGCAACAGGATCGGGGTTACGCATGCGTGCGGTCGGCGGGCCGCGCGCCTCGGGACTAGGATAGGAAGAGCTGCTCTCCAGGCCGCCGCGCCGTGGTGTTTATATGAATTACATAAAGGAACCCGAGCACTCCCGGCATTCACTCGGGACGGACGCATCAATTACGCGACAATACAATACGTGATAACTTTCGCAATTTAAAATTCTTAATTTGTTTTTACAAAATCTAGTATGATATTGCTATCACTTAATATTTAATAAGAAAACTTTTATATGATTTTTTTTTTTGTTTTTTTTTGTTAGCTCTACCGGTGTCTCTATCTATAGACATATATTTTCAAATAAGTGGTTATAAGTGTACCATTTATTATTTTATTTATTAAATATATACAGTAGGTACATATTAGGTTCTATGAAATTATACACATATACTTTTGATATACTGTACATATATTACATTATTTATTAGGACACCTCTATTAATCTATACATATAATAAAATTGTAACTAAGCCGAATCTGTACATTAAATATTTTTTGGAAAATCTTATTGAAATAAACATTATTATCGACAGAGAGGCCAAGTATAATGTTAGAGTATACTAATATGTAAAACCTAAGAATTTGGTTTTTGGTCATCGGAACGCGGGCGCAGCCGCGGGCAATGCTAGTCTGTTTATAAGAATTAAATTGTAATGTATTCTACGCAATATGTACCTACCTCCTACCTGCACCTAAATATTTAACATAAATTTAGAGCAATTACAGAACACTTCGCTTGACCTCGTCCATTAATTTACCTTAGCTATGGAAGCACCCGCTAACTACACCCAATTAACGTTTTCACACATATCAAACAAACTATTCGTCAAAATTATGCTAACCATAGGTACATAAAACATTACAAAAAAATACCTACCATCATCGTCATCGAATCCAAAAGACAAAAACTGAAGCTCTATAATTTAACGCCCTTCATTTTACTCGGAGCCTATTGGATAAAAAATAGTAAGATTCGCAGCAACTACAAAACATGTATATTTTCGACTGCACTATACCTACTATGATTTTACTTTAATTTGCTTCCTTCGTTTTAGTTCGCTTGTTAACCTGTTTGGTTTTTTGTTTTATCTAGCAATTTAATTCTTTCATTATCTTCTAATACGTTTAATCACATGGCATATTGAAATGGCAAATTTTATATCTACAAGAACTTGTGATAGTAAAATATTTTGTTTTATAAGGATTAATATTTTGTATTTCAAATAGGCACCTAACTTTACTGAGTGAAAAATTACCTTTTAAAACTATAAATCTAATTTTGGACTTTTTGTAGAACTATTCTTAAATATTAGCCATGCATTGTTTTTATTTGTATACAACCGTAAATGTCGATAAAGCAGCCAAGCAACGTTTTTCTGCCCACTCGACTTAATAATACTACTAGCACAATATTACGCCATTTGTTTAGTTTGACGTGTCTGTAATATTGTCAAGCAACAAGCGCTAGGGTAATTTAGAATTCACCTTTCTGGGGGGAAAAGGACATTATAACAGCAAAAACTGCACCCGAATTCGTTTGTTTTCGGCATAAGGCATAAGCGCGCATATCAGACGATCGCGTGCAACTTCCTATTCTGTATGTATAGAATGATATACAGTATAAACACAAAGTTTTTGTGCTTAACTGCTTATGTTTTATTTTGAGCTAAACAAACGCTTCATGCTAGAAGATGCATAGTAAAGTTAGGCAATGTCTCGTTCTCTGTTCCGCAACATTAACGTTTAACAGCTCACATAAATTACTGGAAGTCAAATTACGTACATAAGTATGTACTTCGTTAACGGATCTTATACCCGGTCTTATGCAGATTATCTAGTTAACTCGTTCTACATACTAACGGTATAACCTAGTGTATATCCCATCAAAAACAGAATGAAAATGGGAGCCAAGTTCAATATTAAGAATATGCATGGTTGTCGACTTCGCTGACAAAAGAATTGAGATCTAAATGGGTGCAAAGTTCTGTAGATAATAATGAAATTTATTCATAATGACATACAACATTCTAAAATAAATTTAAAACACAATTTCTTGTTTTTTTTTATACTGCGACAGCGTTTGATATTTAAAAATAGATCTTAAATTTGAACATTCGAATTATTTGCACAGAGAAGATAACTTAGGATAAATTATTGAAGTTCAAGATTTGACTTGGCTAGTCTTTACCAGTAAACTAAATTTTTAGGAGATATGTTGAGTGATTAGCCAAATATGAGATAACTTGTATGTAAAAACAAGCCAAGTTAGAAGCACAAAAACGTGGCTTAGAAACATCTACCTCAATGATAAAGATTTATTTAGAGGTACCGCACATTCTTTAGTAGAATCAATTTTTTTTAAACGCAATGCAAATTGCATGGATACAATGGCACCCCTTTTTGGAACGAAGTTCCTTATGGTACCATGCGGAGGGGTACCCTAGCCGGCAAAAAACCTGCGTAACGAAAATGCGTGGAGTAAGATTTTTATGTATAGTTGATGTGTGTTCGCTATATAATGTTTAATATATAGTCTACGTGATGACTGTTATTATTATATTTTTATGAATCATTGTGGATAAAATAAAAGTGTTAAGATAATTTTGTTAAGTAGTTTTTGATTTTTATCGATAAAAAAATATAATAAAAAATTTATACCCGAATAATTATTTTCTTTTTACCTCGACTAGAACTTGAAATTAATATTTATGTATATAAGGAACTTCTTTCCTATCTGGTGTCCCACGACACCATTTTATATTTTTTTTATTTTTCATAATTAGACTTCATAATTGACTAGAAGTTGACATTAGAGATCATTTATCAAATTTCAGTCAAGTCCAATAGCTAGAAGTAAAATAGCTGTGACACACGAACAAGTCGACATGACGAAATTATAAGGATTCCATTTTTGCTTTAAGATACGGAACCCTAAAACAGGAAATCCAGAAAAACTTCTTTAATTTCTTTGGAATGTAGAGGCCCTTAATCTGGTTAAGGGCCTTTACAGTCTACTCCTTAATAATTATCCTAGGGCACTTACATACTTCACACATCCCATATGTACCTTGTAACCGCCAAAAAGTCCGTAAGTATTGTAGCAAACGAACGGACAAGATGATAAAATAAGACATTTTGAACTCGCGCCTTAAAGATTTTGAAATTATCATATCCTTATTTGTTAATTTTTGTAGCTATAAATTAAGGTTTTTGGAACGATAGTTGAATTTTCTACTGCGAGTTCTTCTCACACCTTTGACCTTAGCATAGACCGACACGACGAAATGACTTTTAATACGCCGATAGAGGAGTAACACGGGCTACTATCGTGTTGTGATTTATTAATTTTAATGCCAAAATTGTTCGATATATTCAAATTAACCTATATTTATTGGTATTAATTGAAGTTTCAATGAAATTATATTTTATATTTTAAGTTTGCTTTTATAAATTAAATACTTAAATGGCTTAATATGATTTAGAGATTACGCCGGAAGTAGTTGAAGTTCCATTATAATTATTAAAAAGGTGGGTGGATTGAAAATTAAAATTATTATATAAGGAGTGCTTTTTATGATTGGGATTCATTCTAATTGAGTAAGAGTTACGGTGAAGTTATGCTGAAGCTGTGTTGTGTAATTTTAGTAAAAGCAGTGATATATGTAGTGTTTAAGTGTGGTGTAATTATTATATGTGAATCTATAATTATTATACGTTTGAAGTATATTCTGGTGGTTTTCATTATATATCAGAAGTGTAACGACCCACGAGCCATGCCCAGAAGAATAGAACGTGAGTACAATAATCTTAATTTCATTTATT